GGAACAATCTGGTCATCTTAAATATGGAGATGGCATTCTCATTGTCTCTGATGTTTTCTTTCAGGTGCATTTCATCCCAAATGCCTGCAAGCCTAGATCTCCTTCCTCTACTTTGCTGTTCTTGGCTATTTCCAGTCCCGCTCAGCCAGAGGAAGCTATCCATTTCTTGGCAAGTGGGAGGCCCTTTTTGGCCATCCAACACTCTTATGACATGTAAACTGAGAAGCCCTTGTTTACAACCCAGGGAGGCAATGATAAACCTGCTCCGTTTGGGTCAGGCTGACCCAGAGCTGCCTATTTTGGTCCCTCCATTCCGGCGTTTTCCTGTCACCCTTGGAGCTCTGGCACCGGCACGGCCCTCTTGGCAGGCGGATGGCATTCCTGTCCCAAAGTTTTAAATCAAAACATACTTAATCTGTCTCAGGGGTCCCACCTGACCTGCCGTCCTCCCAACTCCTGCCAACCAAGGTCATCATTGAAACCCAATAAGTAGAAACGCTCTCCAACTTTGTTTCCAGGAGCCGAGTCCTTGCTGAATGATACAAACGCACAACATTTCACAGGTGGCTTCTTTCCCTTTTGATCCCTCCTTCAGCATTGATGGGGAGAAATTCCTGAAGGGATGCTCGGCTCAATCGGGTCTCTTTCACATTTGCCCAAGACCATTCCTCTCTCCACACTCAACATGCCATGGTATTCCTGTGCAAATGTGCCATTGCTCCTGAGATCAGTGTCCAATCTGGAGGAACCCAAGTCTGTGCTAATTTGCCCTGAAGTAAAGGGCAGCCTCCTCACTTGCTAGACACTTAGAATCATAGAGTCGGAAGAGACCTCCTGGGCCATCCAGTCCAACCCCATTCTGCCAAGAAGCAAGAAAATTGCATTCAAAGCACCCCCAACAGATGGCCATCCAGGGTCTGTTTAAAAGCATCCAAAGTAAAAGCCTCCACCACACTCTGGGGCAGAGAGTTCCACTGCTGAACAGAAAGTTCTTCCTAATGTTCAGATGGACTCTCCTTTCTTGTAGTTCAAAGCCATTGTTCAATTGTGTCCTAGTCTCCAGGGCAGCAGAAAACAAGCTTGCTCCCTCCTCCCTCTCACATATTTATCCATGGCCCTCATCATGTCTCCTCTCAGTCTTCTCTTCTTCAGGCTAAACATGCCCAGCTCTTTAAGCCTCTCTTCATAGGACTTGTTCTCCAGACCCCGGATCATTTTAGTCATCCTCCTCTGGACACATTCCAGCTTGTCAACATCTCCCTTCAATTGTGGTGCCCAGAATTGGACACAGTATTCCAAATGTGAACTAACCAAGGCAGAATAGAGCATGGATAACATGACTTCCCTGGGTCTAGGCACTAGACTCCTATTGATGCAGGCCAAAATCCCATTGGATTTTTTTTACCGCCACATCACATTGTTGGCTGATGTTTAACTTGTTGTCCACGAGGACCCCAAGATCTTTTTCACACATAGAGTTCTTGAGCCAGGCATTGTCCCTCATTCTGTCTCTATGCATTTCATTTTTTTCTGCCTAAGTGGAGTATCTTGTATTCCTTGCTGTTGAACTTCATTTTGTTAGTTTTGGCCAATCATCTCTCTAATCAGTTAAGTTCATTTTGAATTTTGCTCCTTCTGTCAAGATGTCAATGTCGTCTTCATGGGCTCTTGACTAGGAGCACAAAGACATTAGCTTAACCTATTTGTCCATCTAGATAAACAATGTTTACTCAGGGTTGTTGTAGGTTTTTTCGGGCTATATGGCCATGGTCTAGAGGCATTCTCCTCTGAGGATGCTTGCCATAGATGCAGGCAAAACGTCAGGAGAGAATGCCTCTAGACCATGGCCATATAGCCCGAAAAAACCTACAACAACCCAGTGATTCCGGCCATGAAAGCCTTCGACAATACAATGTTTACTCAGCTGGCAGAGGTTCTCAATGGGCTCCAGAAGAACAAGGAAAGAGGACTTCCACATCATCTACCACCAGGTCATTTTTTTATGGAAGATGCTTTACACTAGTGGTTCTCAACCTGTGGGTCCCCAGATGTTTTGGCCTTAAATTCCCAGATATCCTAACATATGGTAAACTGTCTGGGATTTCTGGGAGTTGTAGGCCAAAACACCACAAGTTGACAACCACAGCATTAGACTGAAATCTGGAAGGGGTTTTCATGCAACTCATAGACTCTGTCATTGGACTAATCTCTTGTACTCTCCCATGATGGCAAGAGACCTTCCTCTTCACCAAAACACTACCACTTGTGTTAATAACAAGCCATTTTATCTGCTTCGGGTCTTAAGTGGCTCAAGAGAAGGAAAGTGGCAACTCTTTCCCCAATTTATCAACTGCTTTGCCCACCGGTTCAGATGGTGCCACGAATATCCATTGTACGCATGTACACAAGTGACCTTCAGATCCTCCAGCACCGAGACAGCCGCAGAACACTTGAAAGTAGAGATAGCATCCAGTGTGTTAAATTTCAACCTGCAGATGCATACCCTCCATCCTTAATGACATTTATTGGTTCATCAGTACTAAAGAGATTTGCTTGGCCTAATGTAGTGCAGGAGGGAACTACCTCATTCATTCCTTGGCCACTCTTTGCTGCCTTGCGAGTAGGAAAAGGAAGCTGGAGGCCAGGAGAACATTCAAGATCCCCTTGAAGTATCCATGGTGTTGACTGGCTTCCATGTCATCAAGGCAAGAACAGCCCAATTTTGCAGATGACACCAAATTGGGAGGGAGAGCCAATACTCCAGAGGACAGGAGCAGGATTCAAAACAATCTTGACAGACTAGAGAGATGATGGGCCAAAACTAACAAAATGAAGTTCAACAGGGACAAATGCAAGATACTCCACTTAGGCAGAAAAAAACAAAATGCAAAGACACAGAATGGGGGACAATGCCTGGCTTGAGAGCAGTACGTGTGGAAAAGATCTTGGAGTCCTCGTGGACAACAAGTTAAACATGAGCCAACAATGTGATGTGGCAGCAAAAAAAGCCAATGGGATTTTGGCCTGCATCAATAGGAGCATAGTGTCTAGATCTAGGGAAGTAATGCTACCCCTCTATTCTGCTTTGGTTAGACCACACCTGGAATATTGTGTCCAATTCTGGGCACCACAATTCAAGAGAGATATTGACAAGCTGGAATGTGTCCAGAGGAGGGCGACTAAAATGATCAAGGGTCTGGAGAACAAGCCCTATGAGGAGCGGCTTAAGGAGCTGGGCATGTTTAGCCTGAAGAAGAGAAGGCTGAGAGGAGATATGATAGCCATGTATAAATATGTGAGAGGAAGCCACAGGGAGGAGGGAGCAAGCTTGTTTTCTGCTTCCCTGGAGACTAGGATGCAGAACAATGGCTTCAAACTACAAGAGAGGAGATTCCATCTGAACATGAGGAAGAACTTCCTGACTGTGAGAGCCGTTCAGCAGTGGAACTCTCTGCCCCGGAGTGTGGTGGAGGCTCCTTCTTTGGAAGCTTTTAAACAGAGGCTGGATGGCCATCTGTCAGGGGTGATTTGAATGCAATATTCCTGCTTCTTGGCAGAATGGGGTTGGACTGGCTGGCCCATGAGGTCTCTTCCAACTCTTTGATTCTATGATTCTATGGTTCTATGGTTCTAGCTCAAACTTTAAAGGAGCTGTTTGAGGTGCTGAAATCCTATCTCCAAAAAGAAAAGATAGGAGTTCAGGTTCAAAGTTCACACTCTAACTCGGAGCACATTCAGTCCTGCATTGGGATGGAAGCCACCAATGGCCATTCACAATCGGTGGGATATAAAATAAGCAAATAACTAATTAAGTATACAATGAAAACTCTCACAGCAGAAAAAGGCTACTCTTTGAAGTAAAACAATGCGCCAAAGTTTGGAAACCCAGGAGGGTCCGATTTAGCCACATTGGTTGAGGTTCTTCATCCATTGCTTGAGAAGATCAGGTGGCCTTGGGGATAAGTTCACTACAGTGCAGACCGCACTAACACATTTGCACCATCCACAACTGCATTTCCACAATGGCCTGCTCAAAGGATAATGATGATACTATCAAACAAGGAGAGCCCATTCTCAAGGGATGGTACATGGAGGGTGAGTCTCCCTTCCGTCCTCTCTGACTCTGATGTGAAGCAACTCAAGCCAAGCCTCCATCTGGTGGGAACATTGTGGGAACTCAGGGAGTGCGATTAGATCATCCAATCGATCAAGGTTGGCATCAGAAATTGAGCAACTGCCTTGAGCAAGAGGCATTGAGCAAAGTCTTTATCAGAAGTCCCACCCTTTGACATATATACAAGCCACACGTGAGCATTAGAGGCCCAGCTCTCAATCAAGAGACAACAATGCCAAGGTTTGTTCTCTCTTTAGTTCAGCATCCTTGCATTGTCCTATTTGGCTCTGACACAGTTTTGCTCAAGGCCACAAGAGACAACCTGCTCAGTGCATGAAAATGGTCATTGAACCAGGTCTGGGCAAACTTGGGCTCTCCAGGTGTTTTGGACTTCAACTCCCACAATTCCTAACAGCCTCAGGCCTGAGGCTGTTAGGAATTGTGAGAGTTGAAGTCCAAAACACCTGGAGGGCCCAAGTTTGCCCAGGCCTGCATTAGACCTTCTCCAATCTAATGCAGGAGAAGGTCTGTGAAGGAACGTTCTGGAGATGAGGACAAGGAGGAGGCATTTGGAAGACTGGAGACCTCTCCAAGACCTCTTCCTTTGAGATGGACTTCATGGCTGAATCTTACAATGCCATTGATTTATAGCCACTAATAACAGAGTTTGAGGAGCAGTCCACAACATCAAAACCAATGTCCCCTGAGATCCTGGAATGCCACTTTTTCCTGTAGGAATCGGACATTGTTTTGAGAAATAAGGATGAGGATCCAATGGAAAGAAGCTACTTTGAGTCTCCTTTGTGGAGAGAAAAAGTGGGGCATATATAACAACAACAACAACAACAACAACAACAACAACAGCAACAACAGCGATAATGATTACCAGTGTGTGTCTGCCGGTGAGTTTCAAGGGCATCTTCTTTAGAGAACTGTGCACCACAGTGATCACAGACGTAGGCTTTGGCACCCGCTGGAAAGAGAACAAGAGAGAATATAGTTAGGCCAAGAAGAGTAAAACCTTTACTCTCTTTGCAAGAATACTACCATGGAATCCTGGGATGTGTAGTTTGGTGAGGCACCAGCACTCTTGAGCAGAGAAAGCTCAAGACCATTTACAGAAAACCCACACACACAGATAGATATCTACATAAAAACTCCAACCATCACCCAAGTCAATAAAGAAGCACCATTAAAGCCTTGGCAGACTGTGCCAAAAGAATCTGCGAAGCCCACCTCCTCCAAGATGGACTGAACCACCTCAACTGGGCTCTCCAGGCCAATGGATACTCCACCTCAGACATTAGAAGAGCTGCAAGACCACAGAGAAGAAGCCACGAGAGTAAAGATGAAGATCCACCCGAGGAAAAGTGTTCCTGCCATACATCAAGGGAACCACTGACCGCAGTGGGAAGCTGATGAGGAAACACAACATACAAACTACCTACAGACCCACCAAGAAAATCCAACAAATGCTACACTCAGCAAAGGACAAGAGGGATCCTCTCACCTCTGCAGGAGTCTTCCGTATACCATGCAGCTGTGGACAAGTCTACAGAGGGACCACCAAATGCATCACCCAAACATGAATCAAGGAACATGAAAGGCACTGCAGACTACTTCAGCCAGAGAATTCAGCCATAGCAGAGCACCCGATGAACCAACCTGGACACAGCGTTTTAGTTGAGAACACAGAAATGCTGGACCACTCTCACAACCACCATGTCAGACTACACAGAGATGCCACTGAAATCCACAAGAAGCATATGGACAATTTCAACAGAAAGGAGGAAACCATGAAAATGAACAAAATCTGGCTACCAGTATTAAAAAAAACTCTAAAATTACAAGAGCACAACAACAGAGAGGAAACAAACAAGGACATCTAATCACCTCTCAACAAAAGTTTGCTCTAGGCAATGTCAAGCCATTATATGCTAATCCAGGTGGTCAGTTGAAACATTCACACCTAGCTCCAGCAGACAAGAGACCTTTGTCTCACCCTGGTCATTCCACAGATATATAAACCCATTTTCCTAGTTCCAACAGACCTCACTACCTCTGAGGATGCTTGCCATAGATGCAGGCAAAACGTCAGGAGAGAATGCCTCTAGACCATGGCCATATAGCCCGAAAAAACCTACAACAACCCAGTGATTCCAGCCATGAAAGCCTTCGACAATACAAAGCTCAAGACCTTGCAAAACTGAAACTCCCAAGAACAGATAGTGGTTGAAGTGGTGTCCAACTGCATGACTTCTACAGTGTAGACACCCTCCACGGGGGAAGGCATGCTCTCCTCCGATGTCCCCCTTTGCACAAGCAAGAGGCCCTTATTTGCAAAGCGACAGTTGAGGGTTGAAGCCTTTTCAAGATGAAGCAATTAGCAAAGAGGCAATCGCTTCTCTTTAACATTTCCCAATCATCATACTTTTAATTAGCGGTTATATAATGCCAGGGAACGTTCAAAGCACTTCGCACACTTTCCGGAAGGCTTTACGAGCTCCTCGTAGGGAAGTTTTTGGCACCGATCTTCCTCTTAATTCGTTTGGGGTGGTCCAAAGGAGATATGAAGTGGCCCAAGGGAGAATACGGCTGATGCAAGGATTGCACTTTGGACGTTCCCATCTCATATGTTCAACTGATTTGGGATTGTGCAAGTAATGGTAGGGCTTTATTGCCAACTAGCTTGAATGATTAGAAAAGTCTTTTTTTTTTATTTTACGAAATGCATAAGATTGTGGGTGTACTACAACTCACATCATGCCAGGTTAACCCCCTGAAACTCCATCAGTAGTTAAAGTTTGTCATGTTGGGCAAGTTTGCTCAAGATGCATCATCGGTGGGTTCAGTATGATCTCTAGCTGAAGGACGAACTACAACTCCCATCATGGTGGGTCAGTCCTGTCAAATCCCTCCAGTATGTTTAGCTGGACATGGAGGTTCAGTGTGCCAAGTCAGGTCCAGGTCCATCATCTAAGGGGTACAAAGTGCTATCTGATTGCAGGTAAACTATAAATCCCAGTACCTACAACTAACAAATGTCGAGGTCAATTCCCCCCAAAATCCACCAGTATTCAAATTTTGGCATTTTGCGTATGCGTGCCAAATTTGCTGCAGATCCATTGTTGTTTGTGTTCACAGTGCTCTCTGGATGTAGGTGAACTACAATTCCTATAAATCAAGGTGAATTTTCCCCAAAGCCCTCCTGTATTTTTTGTTGGTCATGGGGGTTCTGTGTTCTAAGTTAGGTACAGGGCCATCGTTGGTGGGGTCCAGAGTGCTCTTTGATTGCAGGTGAACTATACATCCCACTATATGACTATAAATCAAGGTGAATTCCACTCCCTTCCAAACCTCTCCAGTATTTTTCTTTGCTCATGGGGGTTCTGTTTGCCAAATGTGGTCCAGGTTCATTATCAGTGGGGGTCATAGTGCTCTGACTTGATGCAGGGTGAACTACAATTTCCACCATGTGGAATCAATCTCGCAAACTCCTCCAGTATGTTTAATTGTTGCTCAATTCTGCGCTGCTTGTTGGGCAGACAGAGTTGAAAAGAGTAGGAAAGAGTTAAGGGAGAGGAAGTGGGTGAAGCCATGCAAATTCCACACCAATGGAGAGAGTAAGAAACACTGGGATGTCTGTGGTGGTGGAAACACGTAAAATCTAGGATTAAATAGTCCCTGAATGAAAGTATTCATTGGGTGGTGTGTTGTAGTGTTTGGGGAAGACATTGGCAGGGCTTGGACTACATGTTCATGGTGAATGACATATAATGTCATTGGAGGGAGAGCTTTCGGTGGCTCCTCTGCACTGTGGGTTAAAGCTGTTTGTGGAAGTGGGCACCCCAGACACATACATATTTTCACTTTTATTATGTGTATAGATTTTATATTTCTCTTCTTTTTACAGGTTACAAGACTATGGGTCCTCCTATATTAAAGAGACAAAGTGTAAATCTGTATTGTCAAAGGCTTTCATGGCCGGAATCACTGGGTTGTTGTAGGTTTTTCTGGGCTATATGGCCATGGTCTAGAAGCATTTTCTCCTGACGTTTCGCCTGCATCTATGGCAAGCATCCTCAGGCCTCACTCTGAGGATGCCTGCCATAGATGCAGACTAAACGTCAGGGGAAAATGCCTCTAGAACAGTGGTTCTCAACCTTCCTGATGCCGTGACCCCCATGTTGTGGTGACCCCCAACCATAACATTGTTTTCGTTGCTACTTCATAACAATCATTTTACTATTGTTATAAATCATAATGTCAATATCTGATATGCAGGATGCATTTTCATCCACTGGACCAAACTGGGCACAAATACCCAATACACCCAAATGTGAATGCTAGTGGGGTTGGGGGAGGACTGATTTTGTAATTTGGGAGTTGTAGTTGCTGGGATTTATAGTTCACTTATAATCAAAGAGCATTCTGAACTCCACCAGTGATGGATTTGAACCAAACTTGGCTCCCATGACCAATGGAAAACACTGGAAGGGTTTGATGGGCATTGACCTTGATTTTGGGAGTCGTAGTTCACCTATATCCAGAGAGCACCGTGGACTCATGCAATGATGGATCTGGACCAAACTTGGCACAAATACTCAATATGCCCAAATGTGAACACTGGTGGAGTCTGGGGAAAATAGATCTTGACATTTGGGAGTTGTAGTTGCTGGGATTTATAGTTCATTACAATCAAAGAACATTCTGAACTCCACCAACGATAGAATTGGCTCAAACTTCCCACATGGAATCCCCATGACCATCAGAAAATACTGTGTTTTCTTATGGTCTTTGGTGACCCCCCTGACACCCCCTCACGATCCCCTCAGGGGTTCCGACCCCCAGGTTGAGAAACACTGCTCTAGAACATGGCCATGTAGCCCGGAAAGGCCTCCAACAACAAAGTGTAAATCATTCTATGGAGAGCTTAGGGATCTATTCCTACATCTAAAACGCATCATTTTATCAATTTTCCTCTCTGAAAAACGAGATTTCTGAAACCATTCTTGCAGCAGAGAGAAGGTCTCCCCACCCCATCATTTCATGCATTCATCCATGTATTAAAATATGTGTGTCTTGCTCTATGTCAAAAGGTCTAGGAGCACTGTCTGAGCAGAATCAATAGAAGCCAGTTAAAACAATAAAAATCAATAAAGATAACTGGGAACGATTATTAGAGAAACCAAGAGGTGGAAACGGCATTTTGGAAACTCACGCTGTCTTGCAAGGATTGTCTAAAATGAACTAATCCTGGGCATTTTTCCCAGTTAGATCCCCTATTTGTTTGTTTGTTTGTTTACGGCATTTCTGTGCCGCCTTTCTCAGTCAAGGTGGCTTACAACTTGTCATTTTTGTTGTCTCCATTCTGCATTTTATTGTGTTGTATTGTGTCTTGGTGCTTGGCCTCATGCTAGCCGCTCCGAGTCCCCTCTGGGCAGATGGAGGCGGGGTATAAATAAAGTTTATTATTATTATAGTACAATACAGTAATATTTAATACTGATATTGTACTATGCTAATGATTCAATATGCTCAATTCAAAGTGCTGGTTTTGACCTATAAAGCTCTACCACGGTTCTGGCCCAGTTTACTTGTCCAAACGCATCTGCCTCTGCGTCCCACCTCGTAACTTAAGATCATTTGGGGAGGACCTGCTCTCGCTCCCGCCAACATTGCAAACGCGACTGGCGGGGACAAGAGACAGGGCCTTCTCGGCTGTAGCCCCCCGCCTGTGGAATTCGCTTCCAAATGAAATATGATCAACTCCATCCCTCCTGGCGTTCAGGAAGAAATTAAAATCTTGGTTTTGGGACCAGGCTTTCGGACAATAAACATGGAGCAGCACTTTGACTGGAAATAATAATAATAATAATAATAATAATAATAATAATAATAATAATAATGCAGACTACTTCAACCAGAGAAACCAGCCATAGCAGAGCACCTGATGAACCAACCTGGACACAG